GGGCCTCTGCCGCCTGCCGAGGTTCGACGGCGTCAGGTCGGAGGGGGCCGGGCGATGGCACCAACCTCTCCCCCCCCTTGCCAAGTGGGAGGTTCCGCCTGGCTAATGTAGGGGCGTGGCCTAACTGCTCGCTTGACGTTTGCGGATCCACATGGCCGAGAAGCAGGACGATGGAATAATAAGACGCTGGATTTGAACTAATGCCATTGCACTGACTCATCCAGGGAGAGTAAGGGAGCTCAGAGCACAAGGATATAGTAGATAGAAAAAGGCGCTCGGGAGGACGAGGAGGAGGAAAGGGAGGGGGAACCTGGAGCAAGGGGAGAGAAAGAGGAGAGACATCGCTTCGGTGCTAGAGGACGGCACCAGCGTCAAGTGTTTTAAAAATCAATAATTCCGGGTGGTTTTTTTTTCCCAACAACAAGCAAATAAAGCGCCTGTGATCCTGGGCTGAGTCATCCAGTCCAGTTGGAGCAGGAAGCCGGCACTTTTCTAAAGCGCTTAATTACACAGGAGGCAAACGGTCCTCCTGGCTTAAAAAGAAGCAGAGCCCGATCGTGGCTTTGAAACTAGCAGAGAAAGAGAGATCCGTAGGAAGCTGGGAATAAGCGAAACAAGTTTTCTATAGAAATAAAAGTATTTGAAAAGAGGACTTTTTGGGGGGAGAAAGCCCACCACCAAATCCGACGGGTCTGTGGTTGTTTTGACCTTCGTAAGAGACCATGATTTGGCTCTAAGGTGGATTTTTCTTTATACTGTATGTTGTATGCCAGATTGGGGTTTCTTGGCAACTTGGTAAAAATCCGGCCGCTTGAAAAAACAAATCAGGAAAGGACTTATTTTTAATTGCTTAGAGTAGATAACAAGCAAGCGAGAAACCCGCCGTAGGCAGTAGTCTCCACCGAGTCCTCCTGGAAAATCGTGAGGGCAGCCAGCAGAGACCCGAAGCCTTCATTCAGGACAGGAAGGGAGCGGGCGAGGAGGCAGCGTGCGCGGCCCGAGCGGAGGGGACGAAGGAAGCGTTGCTTGCTTTCCTGCTCGCACCTCGGACAATGTACCAGGACTTCCCAGGAAATTTTGATACGTCCTCCCGGGGCAGCAGTGGTTCTCCAGGCCACCCGGAAACTTACTCCGGCATCGCCACGCAACAGGTAGGGGGGAGATCGCCAACACCTTTTGCCTCCGACTTACTAGGATGGGGGTTTCAGGATTGGGGGGGGGTACCGGCCGCTGTTCTTCTGTCTTTGCCCTCTCCCTCCACCACCCCCCTTGGTGTCGTGGGGAGAAGTAAATGTAACCTTTTATGTTATTTTATGTGTGCGGGGTGTGTGTGTGTGATTTTTTCATAACTCGAGAGCCTTGTTCAGGGATCGAACATCCTCGTCATCTCCGCGTGCGGGTGGCTGTGAGAAAAGACTTTTGGCACCGGGCGTGTTGTAGTCTGTTACAGCAAAAAACAAAACAAAACAAACAAAAACACGAGCGTCTTGTGACACCTCGGAGGCTAACCGGTTTTATTTGGCACCGTCTTTCCTGGACGGCGTGGAGCCCTGGCATCAGGTGAAGGGGGCAACAATCCGCGAAAGCTCACATACCGCGTCAACCGGGCTCGCTTCCCTCCTCGCCCGCCCCGCCCGGAGCGGCGTCCCCGCAGCCCTCACCTGTCGCCTCC